CAGCAGGAAATGTAGGTAATGAGAAAGTAGTAGAACAACAGAAAGCCAACCCAGTGGCACTTCTTCTTTCGTCGGCCATGATGCTCAGACATCTCCAGTTTCCTGCATTTGCTGACCGGTTGGAAACTGCTGTGAAACGAGTCATTCTGGAGGGCAAATACCGGACAAAGGACCTTGGAGGGACAAGCACAACCCAAGAGGTTGTTGATGCAGTAATACATGCTTTAGATTGATTCATTTATTTGCTCATCTTCCAAATCAAAACAGCCTCGTATATTTTTGGCTAACTAATTTTATCAACATTTTTGCACCCTTTAAAGGCGAAATTGCCATTTTTTGTCCTCAATAATGTTAATTATCCAACAGAGAGAAACCACATGATCAGAATTTATTGATAGTGTGATAACGGGTGTCAGTTTACTTGACTATTCCTTTTTAAACATGGATTTTGTGTATGCTCTTAATTGTCAAAGATATTTGTTAGTGAGAAAATAAGTTATGCATCCACAGGTAAAGTTGTGTTACATCGTTATTCCTTTACGAATTACTTGATAAGTTTGTTGATGTTCTTACCAATTGATAATGTAAAAGTTTTTATATCAATAATACATGTTGAATAATTATTTATTATTTAGAATAAATTCCAAGTTAAATTATATTATAGGTCCCCGTGGTTTCACCATTTTTTTAATTTAATAAATTTTTTTCTTGTTCTTAAATTTTATTTGCACATGTGAGTTTATAAGATAGGAAAATTGTGAGAATGACGATATTGGGCGAATATGTAAGTCATTGTTTTTAGTCAACAGTTGTTATTGGCCATTAAGCCATTGATAACATGCATTGCATTGACGTCATCAATTGTGATATTATCAACAGTCAATGGTTTGACGTGATCACACACCAAACGTTTTACTCATTCTATTTATTTTAGCTCTAGCTTTATTTAGATTTATTTTGTTTAATAATTTATATTTGATATAAAATTTTAATAATTTAACTATTAAATTTTAAATTTTTAATACATAGATCAAATTTATAATTTTTAAAAATTTTAAAAATTATTGAATGTTTTATTTTATTAATTTAAATTAATATATATAATATTTTTTATGTATATTCATTGATTTAAATTAATAAAATGAAATATTAAATAATTTTTAAATTTTTAAAAAAATTTGCAGACTTGACTTGTATATTAAGAATTTTAAATTTAACGTTTAGATTGTTGAAATTTAATGTAGAATATGAGTTATTGAACGGTATAAGTTTAGATAGACTTATTTCAAAATTAAATGAATCTCTTTTTACACATAAATTATTTTTTTAATAACATTATTTTTATTTAATTGAAATTTAATTATTTTTTATATCTTGTTCCGATAAAAGGGAATTTAAGAGAATAGTTTGTTTTTCAAATGGAACTGGATAAATTAAATGATGTTAAAATATGTAAATTATTAGTTTTTTTACTTAGATTTGAAACTCAAAGGAATATATATTACGGTTTGTAAAAACCTTTTTTAATTAAAAAATATAGTGACAACTTGATTGTCAATAATTTTGTGAAATGTTACTAACAGTACTTTCCGTAACATATTCTTTTAAATATTTTTTTATTGAAATTAGAAAATTACATAATTCACAAATCTTATTTTATAATTTTCTTATCTCATTTTGTGATATTTAATAAAATTTTAACGATGAATATATCTTACGTGCCATTCATCCTCTAACGGTCTAACTTTTTATTATTGCAATGACCAATTGTGCTTCAAAGTTTCGTCCCAAATGAAATGACAATTGCTATATATTAATTGTATGTCGTTGTACACAAGTTTCAAAAACGGTTGTTTTTTTATTTTATTGATCTTTTTTAATCGATGAGTTAGATTTGTTGACATACGTCCGTAAAAGTGAGTGAAATTATATATTTAATAATTTTTAAAAATATAAATTTAATAATTCAATTATTATTTTGATTTTTTTTATTAATTAGATTAACTATAAAAAAAGTTTTATATATTTCTAAAATTATTTGATAGTTTCTTACATTATTTTATAATATAATATTTTAAAACATATATAAATATTCATTAGATAATTCATCTTAAAAAGTTTAACGGATCTTGACTTATAATAAATTATATGTAACTTTTGTATTTTTAAATAAGTAATTTAAATAATAATAGTAATAATAATAATTTTTATTTATTATTATTTTTAATCAAATATCTCAAAAACTATCTT